TTGAAAACCATTATAATTAATTATATATCCAGGGCCACGCACAAATCAGATTACTGATTTTAGTCGGTTCTTCTTCATTCAATTCTAATAGGAATGTGGCATATTCAAAATTTCTTTTGAATGTATTTTCTATTTCTGGAAATTAAATGATTATTATTATTATTATTATTATAGTCAATGTCGCTTTTTCCGTATAATTTTGTCTAACAGCACCGTTGTTCATAAAAATTTGGGTTTAGGTTCTACTTAACCTCCATTTCAAAATTGACCCTATACCACGAAAAAATTTGAGCTTGAAGTGAAAAGAGAATTTTTGAAATTTCGCAAAAAATTTCCATTTCTTGAAAAACTATTTGACATCTTCCTCTTGAAGATGATCGCTTGGTGATCGAAACACGTGTCGAGGTGTTGAAAATAACGGTTTGGTGTTGGGATAAAACTCCACCAAAGGTTCCAAACAGTGCATTACAAGTATTAATGAATAAATAGAAACTGAGAATTTACGAAGGAAGTGTGACGAATAAAAAAAAACCTAAAAAGTAAATCAGAAAAGACATGTCAAGATGTTGATCATATATAAATATACTAATATGCATTGATATACCTATCAATCGGGAAAACCGTATTTAGTGTACTTGTGGAAACTTGTTTTTCAAAACAACTTTTCTTCCAATCTCTGCAAAAGTAGTCGATAACAGTTAAGTCAACAATAAAATTAGCATAAACATCATCGCGAAAACATAAAACTCGAGGCGATTGTTATATACTGTCGCCAACTGCATGACATCATCCAGAAGTCAGCAGAGGTTAATTTCGATTAGACATTTCGTCTCAAGGCCTACTTTACGTTTAAGGCGTGACAGTAGGTGTTGGACTCCTCACCTGAAGATTCTCACAAGAAGGACCATTATCATGATGGCTGGTATTAAAATGCATCATATCAGCTTTGAAACGTTAAGAATACTTGCATAATTCCGTATTATTCTTAGCGTTGTTTTGTAACGTTGTGCTACGCCTTGCTGTTAGGTATCTTTACTTTGATCTTTCCCGAGATTCCCAGAATGGATTAACTTGTGCACATACTGAGGATATGATGTTTCATTGTTGTTCCAGTACCGAGTTCATTTGCAAATATTCATTTATTATGATTGAAAAACTGGTACGTTTTAATACATTATCGAAAATCCTATTTTGTTTTTTTTTTCGTTATTTCTTTTAACAATTCACAAACTAAAAATGATTGAGTATTCCATTGAAAGTTTGTCACAATTAAAAAAAATATTGTGTACCATTCAATTTCAGATCTTGCAAATTATCTGCCAGTACATCTACCTATTCAAAAGCCAGTTTGGATTTGTTTCTCAATGCTGACTTTTTTCACTTCATATGTAAATTGCTAACGATCGTTGAATCAGGACAGAAGCTGCTCCAATTGATCTCATTCATTTGTCCTTTTCACCCTTATATAGGTTTCTTAATGCCCCCATCATTTTTAAATTCCAGAATGTTGAAAAATAAACCAAAAAGTCGTCCTTTACGAAATGTCAATATGGAAAACAGCATGTTTTTGTTGAATGTTAATTATCACATCGAAATCACTGAAATCAATTCAGGACCAAATTAATTTTTATTAGGTATATAAATACCAGGCTTTCGTGCCTATTCGATGTCAACTTTTGTCGAGATTGGTAGTCAAAGACCATTTTACTCGGTATAACTTAATTTAGATAACAAAATGAAATATTGACGTTATCCAATACATAACCTTGAATGTGGCTAGAATATGTTTCACCAAGGTTGTAATACGAGATTTGCTTGAATGAAAATTGCCATTGAAAACATCATAGGTCAGGTATTTGCACATCAGCCTATGGAATAACGTAAACCCTAACCTTTTCAAAGTAAAAGAAAGTACTGTTAAAGGAACATTTTTGTTATAAATTGATGTGAATACACAAGGTGTACCAAAAACTGAATAATTTTCATGAAAAATGAGAATTGAAACTTTCTATGTTTTTTACCACTTTGGTAAAATGAGAATTGAAACTTTCTATGTTTTTTACCACTTTGGTAAAAAACATAGATAGTTTCAATTCTCATTTTTATGATGATTTCCTATCACTTAGTAACGGCTACATTCATCAATTTATTGAATAATTTTCATTTGGATTCATTTATTTTCTGAATGACTTGCCTTTACTAGTGATTTTTTTCCTGTTGAAATTTTCCTAAGGCTGAATTCCAGACATATATTGTGTGAATGTGAATATTTTTCTAAAAATATTGGAAGCCCATTGAAAATGGTACTATAATACTACCAGTCCAATAAACAGTGTAAATGAAAATAGACCAAATTGATAAGTAATAGTACTTATATGCCGGTTTTTATGGCTTTGTTGGTTATTAAAAATAACCATATTTGGCATTTCTGAGAAATGCCAAATATGGTTATATACATCATCAGTGCGGGTGGCAAATCTTTATGAGGTAGGAAAATGTGGAAATAGGTGTCTCTCTCTCTAGGTTTTCTTGGCTTTTGCTTCCGTACGGCGCATTTAGCCAATGAAAATAAGTATTTCTCATGATTGATGAGAGATGAAATTTATAAATAAATGAAGTTTTTGTTTTAAAATAATATATATTTAGACTTTTACATGATTGAAATCTCTTATGCTATTAATGCTTTACATTATTAGCATAAGATTGAGAAAACAGCAAGAACTGAACAAGAATCTAATTTCATGAAATTTTTCGTATATATTTCAATAATTTTAACCTCTAGTAGCTCTTTTTTCCAGACGCCACAATCATAGTTGAACAATAATTCTCAGGACAATCGTGGAGTACAATTTGTAAATAATTTGTTTGCTGTTATTGTATTTTTCAGCACCTTGATAATATTACCGTTGTCTTCATATACCTAAGCATTTGGTAGAATAAGTGGGTGATAAGTAAGAGAAATGTTGACGAACGTCACGGGATTTCTCTAAAAATGAATATTAAATACATAGTTGTGTATTGTTGGCACTGATCTTGATCCAGATTGACTTATTCCCGACAGAAGTTATTCGCTATGAAATACAAACGCATTTAATTTTTCGAATACGTTTCAGTGTTGGAGTCATTGTTATATTGGTACCTTAGAATAAAATATAGTTTGAAATTTCAACCGTTGCGCGTCACCCTGGTTGGTTGCCCCGCTCGCCCCTTCTTTAAAGACGCCACTGGTGGGATGTGAAGTCGCATATAAATCCAAATCATCTTCAACATCCTTTAAGGCTATTTTCCACAAATAATTAGTTGGAAATTCATCTTTGTTATGCCAAACGATGTATGCATCATAACTTATTTGAATATAAGATCTCTACCTTGAAAAAAGGATCACAAATAGTAATAAAGAAATGTCTTCAAATATTTCTTGTGATCAACTTATTGTGTACATGCCACTTGATCGTTAAAAATTATCTTTGTATTGTTTCGGATGATGGTTCTTTTTGTTGTTCTCTTTGTTGTTCTTTGTTGGGTTTCGTACCATACATCATAAGGAAAAGTTGGCTAGGTATAATAAAGTCGTACTGTGAGGTGCCGGCTAGTCGTGTTGGAACGCATATGGTATTATATTCGAATATCATATTACACACGACCATTCATTCGAAAACGCCTTCCTGGTATACATTTTTTTCGTAATAAATCATAATTAGTAACCGGTTCGAAAGCCGATACGTTTTGTGACGCACTCCTACACGTGATTGACAAGTGGTGTTTGCTTTCAACGCGTTTTAACGAGTGTTTCGATATTTTTTCCAACACTTGTATGTAGCGATGGGATCTCGAATGGGATATGTTCTGTTTGGCCAGCATGTGTTGACTTTACGGGTGAGAGGGATCCTGGAAATTTCCAACTAATGGATCCTCTGCAGATCTTTAGCGAAAAATAACAGTCTTTAACGAGCAGTTCTCTATGGTTTTCATACATTGTCATATGTTTCATTCTCTTGGCTATTTGAAATAACACATTATTTCTAGTAGATAGTAAATATATTATGTTTATTCAAGTAGCACTTTAATGTGAGATTTTCACTGGACAGTTTAAGCCGCAATACGAGTTTCGCTATACCATAGCTTTGTGTCAAACGTTTTCATAGATGTATACGCGGTTTTGTAAACCGTCTCACAATAAAGCGTTTTTTTTTTCAAGTCTGGCGCCATGGAATCAAAGCTTGACCGGCATCAAGAAGTGATAGAATTACTATATCAGTTGATAAATTTTCGTTCAGGTAGCCTAATATTATTAAATTGATCTGGATTACATCTAACTTTTAGAAAATAAGGTTTATTAAAAAGAAATTTGGTATGTAAGTGATATATACATACACCCGGTATATTTCAACATTTTAGGCCAACTCTGGATTAGAATATGACATTTTAAAAAATTTTTGAAGTCACTTTCACTATTGCATCTAGGTATCCATGATCGGATATAAACTAATCTAAGGACCTAAAGTGATGTCGGAAAATGACAATCGCAGAATTTTAGTGACTCTTATGATAGATAGGTATAAGATAAGTAGGCAAAATCACAATACGACACAAGTATCATACTTTTTTCAAAGACATCTCTGAAGAATTTAACGACATTCATTTATTAACGATTGGATTAGCAAATTTAACAAAACTAACGAAATTACCTAACAACTTCAGTGATCCACTTGAATGTTTTTTTTATTATTGCATTCATATATTAATATTATTACATTATATATATATATATATATANTGAAATACATATCGAAATGGAGCAAAGAACCCAAATTTCACACCTTCCGAAAAAGAATGCCTTTTCTGAATAGTGTCAGAATAAGCACATATTCTGGAGAACAAAGAAACGAACAGAATAAACGTTGAAGAAAAATTCTAGGATTGTGAGAAGATATTTGCTGAATTTAATTCTAGTGCCCCGGTAGTGTGCTACAGAACCTCTGAGCACTTGAGGAGATTGTATGAAAATAAAAAAAGACATTCGAAGGAAAGCAGCCGATTACAAAAAACAATCGTTTTTGACAGGAGGAGGTCAACCGCCTGAAATTAAATGGGATCCAGTGGATGAAATGCTTATGGGAATCGTTAATAGAAAAACCATCAATGGTTTGGTTTCCCAATTTGATTCAGATAGTATGGGATCAGTCGAGAAAAATCAAAGATCTAATGAAAGCACAATCAGTTACGAGTTCACTCCCAATTCCACCTACTATAATGAAGTGAGTTTTGAAAAATTTTTCTTCTTATTATGTACTGAAGTTTATTGTGAAAAATATAATTTTTTTAGATAAAATTCAAGCAGTTCAAAAATTGAATTATGTGATACTTTTGAAGCCGAGTGTAATTGGATTTTATGGATATTTTTTTCCAGAACAAATCAAGTTGCTCTGAAGTTGATGTTCATGAAACAGTTAAAAAAACAAATATATGGTGGTGTGACACCCAAGTCAACATAAGTAGTTCCAAGAAAGTACTTGATAAAAATAGCTGCGTAAACGCAAGCGAAACATAAGTGGAACCACCTATTGGTGTGACACCCAAGTCAACATAAGTAGTTCCACTTATGTTTCGCTTGCATTTACGCAGCTATTTTTATCAAGTACTTTCTTGGTTTTTCCCATTTTGTCTTCAATCGAGGACCGCCTGCCCGGTACTGATGATGCCCAATAGGCTGAAACAGCTGTCTACCGGTGGCTTTTGATCGAAAATTCTTATCCCAGAAAACTTCTCAATAAAATTATTTTCAATACTGGCAGTAATACAAATTCATGATTACACGAATGAAAAAACTGAAATTGATAATCTCAGCAATATATATAGTAACTCATTGGAACTACACCAAAAACAATAACAATGAAAATCGTTTCAATCAATAACTCTCTCTCTCTCTCTCTCTCTCTCTCTCTCTCTCTCTCTCTCTCTCTCTATAGAGAGTCATTGAAAAATGATTTTGATGTGACGGTATGACAACGTTTTTACCTTAAAATGTCTCTAGCAGTGGCGTACGGAAATTATAATAAACAGATGAGGAAAAAAGTTAATATTATAATAACACGATGTAATCTAATTCCAAAATAGTAGGCAGTAAATTATTAGAAATGACTGACGTTTTTGCCCTAATATGTCTCTTGCAGTGGCGTATGGAAATTTTACTGAACAGATGAATAAAGATGATGATAAAATAATTTCACCTCGTTCAGTTGTTTCTCTCAACAAGTTCTGTAATATTTGAGGTGTTATACTTGTAAATTCCGTAGCATTTTTTCTTCTAAGATTTCAAGAGTGCCTGGGGCTGTTGCATAGTAAACTCTTTCTCTAACATATCTCCAAATGAAGCGATCAAGAACAGTGAGATCCAGTGAATGGTCAGGCCACCATTATGGTTCAATGGTTGGAATAGTTTAATTATAATGCTCTATTAACTAATGAAGAACTTCTCTAATATTATGGGTAAGAAAAAATGTTTGCCGTAAATCTGATGAAAATGAATTATTGGGCCAGAAAATAGAATAAAGTTAAAATTTGTTAAACTCTATGAATGTTACAAATTTGTTGTATCAGTCTCAGCCTTTTCATTTACTTACAGCTTTTAATCGCAACTAGATTTCTTTCTAGTTCTTATTTTTATTGAAGTTTTCCGGAATTTGGTCCTGTATACTTGTAATTTGAAAAATAATAGTAAAATAGCCATTATATTTATTATACTCCTTTTTACTCCTGAAAACCAAGAATGTCACGATCCTAAGAGGAAAATGATTAATCTCAACTTCGAATAATGTTCTAATGACATATTTTGGGCAGATGTCCAACGATTTCAAGTCGATGCGTTTCCATGGTAAAAAGTATAATATGAATAAAACATATCATAGATTCATCTCAAGAGTAGAGGGCCCTTTTTTTAAGCGTGAATCTTACGAATTAAAGAGCAACTTGCGTTGGTTTTTGTTATTTGTCGTGCTTAAAGATTTGACAGCACATGAGACATGTTTTTCTGTTTGAATTAAATTGATAAAATGAATAAAATCCAAGGCTTCCAGTCCACATTTTAAGATCCTTTGGCTTGCGTTTACATGAAATGAGTGAAAGAATTCTAGATTCATTCTAAAAGAGTATTTGTGTTACCTAATAATAATAATATTTATTTTCCCACAATATTATGAAATGTATATGAATGATCATTATATAATGCAAGAGCACTAAAACGGAGTACAGTCATTTAAAAATAAAGAGTTTTTTTGAATGATGCAACTAATTTTCCTTCATTTTCAGTATTTTGGTATTAACATATGTCACAAAAAAGATTTGAAGCTTTATAACTTCTATTTATATACGAACGCTTTCGAAAGCGCTCGCATATAATAAATAGAAGTTATGAAGCTTCAAATACCTTTTGTGACATATGTTAATATTGAAATAAGCAGTCAACATAAAAATAACATATACACACATACACTCACACTTATACACATATATGATATAACCAGCTATTGAAATATTCTTCCAACGAGTAGAAACATTTTTCAGTCAGGAATTGTTTGAGCGATCTACTGAATTTTTTTTTAATAATTGGCTTCTTTATACTTTTAGGTGAATAACCCATAATTGTAGGTGCATTGTAGAGACCTTATATTTTATGAATGGAATGTGGTAATTTTTTCTATAACCAAACTGGTCGAAGCTTCGAAAGGAACAGCTGGAAATCGAAAAGCCTTGCTAAAAGATGAATTTCCACTCCTGGCAAGACTCAAAAACAGACCAATATCTCTTTTAAGCATGTGAACATTCGGAAATACATTGAAAAATACCACATGTTTATCATCGTCTACGTCTATAGTGCATAAATAAATATTTGAAACGCCGATCATTCATAATGATTGCTCCAACATAAAAATCATCAATAAAAAAAGCAATGTTTTATTCCAAATTTAAATGATATGTAAATGGACCTAGGAGTTATGTTTTCAAATTCTTATATGTTAGGCATACTCTAGCTATTTTTCTTTCTAATTTGCAATAATACAATTCGTCCATACATATACTTATTATAAGGGTATGGTAGTAGAAAAAATATTTTGTTTTAGTTACCGAAAATCATTTTCTGATGATCGTCAACATAAGCAAACGTGAATTTATCTCGTTTAGTAAACTGTTCTGTCTCGCTTACAGTCACTAGAAAATATACTAATAACTAATATTCTCTTCGTTCTACAACAGGTATATATTGTTTAGACATTAACCAGTAAAGATGGCTCTCTTCAGTTCAACTCTATTCAGTTGTATCGAATTCAGATAGTTAATCTGTTCTTTTTTTTGAATTGTGTTAAACCGATATCAAAAAAGTCATATACTTAAACAATTTTACCACTGTGTAATCTCAAGCCTACCAGAGTAACATTATCAATCGAACTCTGTTTTTCAACAACTGTTATTGCATGTGCGGACTGTTTGACCCAATAATATCCCACGAATACCATTGAATTATTATCCACTTTGTCTGATGGTTCACGATCCCGTTCTCTATGAATTCACTACTTGAGACATCTTCGAGTTAGATTTAACGATCGCCATCTTGGGAAAGTATCACTCGTCTGTTCAACCATTCATCATCAGCCACTCGACTACATTCTGAAGGCAGGCGGTCTCTCCTGTTAGTACTTTGAGTGGTTTCCTTATAGGGTTATATTACATTTCAAGGAACGATGCAGACATTTTTATGGCTTCTCTTCCTCGTATATCCGTTTATATCTAGGTTTTACTTATGAAGAATGCATTGAGTAATAAACTAGTTGCAAGAATAACTGAATAGAAGACTCCAATAAATATACATAGAGTACGATCAATCTAATGGAATGAAGAAATGCACGGTTAACAAATGGAAACTGGTTCTATGCGACTGACTACGCTTATTATATATGGTCGTGTAGTAAAATTTGTTGAATAAATCACCGATCCAATTGTAATGATATATTCGAAATTGAAATAGTATATTCCGTACCAAGTAGGATAAATGAGCTAAAAATTGTAAGCACGAGGCGTTAGCGGCGTGCGATGATTCGCGAGTGGACGTAATTGGCTTTATCCTCGAGGTGCGTACTATACTTTTTCTACGACTGACCGTAGAAAGAAATGGTACAATATATTTGTTTGAGAATATGGGTTTGGATAATAACCTCATTCATTCAGTCAATCAGAACAAAATTAAATGATTTAAAAATGTATGACAATATTTCCTATAAATTACTTCATTAGGATTCATTTTTGTTATAATTATGTACATTTATAGTTACATTATTACAATTATTTAATGATATTCCGCCGTCGATGTGGGAGGAAGACGCTCTTTTTCCGTTTTGTTTCGAATTTGAAACAGTGGGATTACAAATGTTTTCAATACCATTTATGAGTACATTTGACTTTTCCAGCCACCATGGCACTTTAATGACATTAGGTCACCCCCTTCATCAACTAGGATGGTTGCAGATGATCTTCTGAAGCAGTGTTCAATATAGGTTTTTGGATTTTCCAAATGTAAAAATTTGGCAATAATTTAATAATAACTTATTATGTTCAACAACCTGACGAGTGCATTTCCCATTTTCATAATTAAAAAAAAATGGTAGTTGTCACCATTTTTTGGTCTCAGGTTCGTGTACTTTTTACAAATATTATAAAAATTGACAGACACAATAAATGACCTTTCGGTTTTATTTTGTCCGGTACTCTGATGTATAGTTTTTGCCCCATATCTTTAATATGATCTATTTGCATATCTTTGAGTTTTTTTTGGCATGCTCCACAAATAGCAATAATCCTAGAAATAAATTTAAATTGTTATATCATTTTATTTCACCACTACCCTCCGAGAAATATTACTAATATATAATTATATCATTCACGTAAAAAAACTTTCAGCTATGGGATGTGATCTCGGGTTATAGGTTATAGGAAAAAATATATGCATTATATACACGTGTTACCGCTGAGCTAGTCTGGCGATTACCGATGTGTTGTCTGAAAGTGATATGAGTACTAAACATAATTGATATTCACTTTGTGAGTGAATAAATGAATTTGAAGAGTTTTAAATAATATAATAATGTCAAATACAAATGCGAACAGGTATCTTTTGGTCAGTAATAGTTCATAGAATTAACGGAAGTAGGCTTTGCTTTAGAGGCGTCTGGCAAATGAAATATGATTGGCTGTTGTCTGGTGAGGTTGAATAATTCAGTTTTAACCTTTATGTTGTGTCTTAGTATATCAAAAATTGTTGCAGAAATTTCATAAAAAATTAATAGAAGGAAAATGCGGAGTTCTGTTACCTTCGAAAACAAATATTTGCCATTTGAATTAATGAATTGATTTATTTGTTACTGGTGAGCGTCGACGATTTCTTCGGTTTATAACCATTGCAGTCCGCGTTTGGTGGCCTGGTTTTCGTGAGACTGCTACGGATAATATTACCGGATCTGAAACAGGTTCTGATGTTGTACTTGGAACCAATTCTTCTTATCCTCTCCGATAATCTTCTGATATAGGGAAGTGCAAGCTCTGGTTGTGACGGCCATCTACCATCGCTTTGGAGTAGCCTTTCCGTTGAAGATCATTTTTGATGATGTCTAGTTCCTTCTCGAGACTTTCCTTCGTACTGCAGAGACCGAAAGCACGGTCCAATAGAGTCTTAATGATTCCTCTTTTAGTCGATTGATGGTGGTTGGATTCATGGTTCAGATACTTTCCCGTGTGAGTTTTCGGTATACTGATGTTTTTCACCTCACCAAAACGTCTAAGAATGGCAATTCGTTGTGGATTTTCTTCAGAACCATGGGAATACTTTCCATCACTTTCACAATGGAGAAACTGGTTAAAAACCAAATTACTCTAATATCAAGGTTTTACACATAGAAAAAAATGTTTCTAAACGCCTTTTTCTTGAAATGGTTGCAATTAATGAATCTTCTGTTTGTATGAATAAGAACACTGACATTGACAATCTCATAACAACAAACAATATTTGTTTGGACACCTTCTAATGTACAAAATTGAAACAAGATATCTTTCGTATATTTTTATCAGTCGTCAAATGGATTTCGCTTTGAAAAAATGACCATTTTTCGAAAGAAATGCTCATTTAAGAAAAACTATTGAACTTAGCCATAGGGAATACTTAATGAAATTTGTAGAGGTTTCGTTGGCGCTTCTTATGGATCAATAATATACAGGATGTTCCATTTGATATAAGGAAGTTTTTGCAAATTTTCATTTACAATATTTGGCAAGCGGTTTTTCATACCCTGTATATCACAGGTCGATTTCAGATATATCGTTTGAGAGATATAGAGATATGGAACACCGCGCCACTGTTGCAGGACCCTGTATCTTGNCCAGGTTCGAATCCCATAACTATAAACTTTTTTTATTTAAAATCACGTGACTGGAACGTGACAAGGGGGCCGAGGGGTTAGGTGGGGTACCAAGAAGGCCTGAGCGGTGATGTGGAGTACTAAGGGGGGCCGAGGGCAAGGGGGTCCACGCTCAAATCGCTACAATACTCGTTCCATCCTGCATCGATTTCGATGACGCTGATAGGTTACTCCCACTCCCAAGTGGTCCAGAAGTCTCTTTGTTACACTACTAACATGACAGTTTAATGTGTACAGGGTGTCTCATTCAAGAAAAACATGGCAGTTCACTGGGGCTCTATTGTTTCACCGTGTGATTCTTCAGTGTGTACAGGGTGTCTCAAATACGTCATTTGAGAAAACATGACAGTTCAACGGTGTTCTATATTTTGACGTGCGATTCTTCAATGTGTACAGGATGTCTCAAAATACGCCATTTAATAAAAGAAGTCGTTTCTGACTCAAAATCCAAAGCTTTTTCTCATGGAGCTTAAGTTTGGTCATTTTCAGACCTCGTAGCGGAACCTTATGGATTACCCAACTCGAGGTAGATGTGACGTGTGTAGGAGTTATACGATGCAGGAGAATAAAGGTAAACATAACAGAAATATTTATATAATGTGCCGTTTGAGAAAGAAATGTGGTAATGAGGATCTAGGAGGATTTAATGCGATGAAACGTTCAGTTTCGTTCCGAAAAACGCATTGAAAATTTTGCAAAATTTTGATGCGTTAAAATAGTAAAATTTGTCATTTGAATCGCAACGAAAAAAACGTATTTTTCAAACCATCATTTCGTAAAATTTATCATTTCAGTCGCATAAAAAAATGTATTTTTAAAACCCTTTTGAAACCCATATGATTTGCATTGTATCGCGTAACGAAAAATGATGTAAACATGAAATGAGAATCGATTCAGAAAAATGTCAAAAATTTAGCACGATGAAAGGTCATTTATGCCGCGATTATCGCTTGGAATATTTCGAGAAATTTAAAGGCGTTGAAACAGTTAATTCAGGCACTCCAGCTTTGGAAAAACGCCATATTTGCCACATATTCTTCAAACAATAAAAGAAATAAACGGGTATACAGAGTGATTTAATACTTCAAAATACGTCTCAAACAAATAATGAATGACAGAAAAATCGAAAATCGTTTATGATATGAACTAGAACCGATTTTTCGGTTTCAATCAATTTTCGTCATTTGCCAGACTACTTGATTTCCAATAAATATTTCATTCGCTGAAAGGTTGTGGTAAACCGAAAAAATATGGCACAAATTCCGAGATTTTTGAAATTATTGTAACTATTCAAGAACGTCCATTTTGTGGTGTAATTCGCAACTTGTTTATCTAGCAACAGGTAATTTTAGGAATGGGCGATATTTTAAGCTGACATTGCATGGATTACAACAGCATTACGTTAAACTCAAAGAAAATGAAAAGAATAAAAACTTATTTGAGTTGCTCGATGTTCTCGAGTTCAATCAGGTAGTCATTTTTGTGAAGTCAGCTAAACGATGTTTGGCTCTAGAACAGTTGCTGACTGAAGAGAATTTCCCAGCCATCGGAATTCACAGAGGAATGAACCAGAAAGAGAGGCTGTCTCGGTATGAGCAGTTCAAAGATTTCCGGAAGAGAATATTGGTAGCTACGAATCTCTTTGGGCGTGGCATGGACATTGAAAGGGTCAACATTGTCTTCAACTATGATATGCCAGAAAACTCCGATACCTACTTACACAGAGTTGCTAGGGCAGGACGGTTTGGTTCAAAAGGTTTGGCCATCACTTTCGTTTCCGGAGAGGAGGACGTCAAGATTTTGAACAAAGTCCAAGAGAGATTTGATATTGCTATTACAGAGTTACCTGATGAAATTGATCTCAGATCCTACATTGAGGGTCGATAATCCTCTGAATGAAGATTGGTCCGGTATTTGCTATGTATTTTGTACTTTATATTTCAAATGTTATTTCAAAATGTAATTCAGTTGAATAAATATAATTTGTTAATATACATAGGCATCACAGGTTGCTCAAAAATGCGTGTCCAATGAGTGAATGCGAGAAATAAATAAAGGAGTGGTGTGCGTCTCCAGACGCCCGACAGAAATGATAACTTGAACTAATCAAAGTTAAACTATTCAGTATTTAAATCGATTACTTCAAGTAAAGCTTAGGTCATTACTTCAATTTTTTGTATAATAATATGATAATAAAAGGAAAGGATATTTATCAATAAAATATTTTATTGATTATCTTGCGTATGAACACATATTATATCTACCATAAGCCAATTGTTACTTTTGTAGGATTGAATAATGATGCTAATAATGATACATACACAAAATTAGCATGATAATTTTTAAACCACGTTTCATTTATTTGAAGAATATTACGTGCTTGCTGATTAGATTTTTTTAAGTTTCCTTTTATTTACCGAATTATTTTAGTGTCAAAAACAGTTTTAAGGCGTGAACAAGTGGAGTCGGTATATTGGATGGTGATCTTCTGCTAACGGGCTATTTTCCAGCTTTTTGATGGGTTTTATCGCAAACTTTGCGATACTTCGCAATGACACCAACCTTATCTTTTGTTATCAAACTCGTCGTCCTCATTGTCAATATTTATCAAAAAAGTTTCCTTTTTTTTTTGGTTTAGGAGCACCTTCCCTAACTCCACCTGCACATTTCTGGCGTTGCACCTTCGCCTTCGTGGTCACCACTTCCTGGAATGGCACCCTCGAAGTTGATGGGGTCGCCAACGATGTCGATGGGTTCGCCGATGATGAACACGCCTCCATCTCCTGGGTTGGGGCCCATACCTTCTTCGGCTCCGTGGTTGCACCACCACTTCCTGCACCTCCTGCAACAGCCGCTACCATACACCATACTACCATCGCACTTATCGAAGGAGTTGACTCTTCAGAAGAGGAGGACGTTCGAGTTGAGCATATCTTCATGTTCACTGTTACGTGATATTCTGTGATATGCGAATACTTTACGGTAAGCTGTGCCAAGTTATTTGCTATTCGTCAAATCATTCAGAATAAAAACTTATGGTTATGCAACTTACTGCGTTTTGGAAAGCAATTGCGCTGATAACTTCGTGATAACTTGTATTTTCACATTCGTACTGAAAGTAAGGCAATTTTAAAAATTGATAGGATGGGTGAAGAACTAACAGAGAATTCAACTAAAATATTTTTGTTGATATGACTTTTCGATTTCATCGGAAGTGACGTCATCTTTGTTATTTTTAATGGCATACCCTGTGTGTCTCATTTTTAAATTTTTCCTAGTTACTTAAGTTAGACGTCACATCGACGAAAATATTTCAGTTGAGTTCTTCGTTAGTTCTTCACCCATCCTACCAATTTTCAGAATGGCCCTACTTTCCGCTTTCTATATAAAGATCGCTTCAACTCGTCAAGATATACCCTATAAAATAATAACTATTCATTCATTTGAAAGGTTTAACACAACATAATAATAATAGGTGAATGAAGAAAAATGGCGATAAGTGCAAAAGCACTTGCTTTGCATTCCAATGGAACAAATAAGACTTAAAAAACAAAGCTATGAATCTCAGACGTGATAATGCATTGCTATATTATCTACAAAAATTTATCAAAGTGAAAATATTTTTTTTGGTATAAAGCACATGTATTTACCTCAAAGAATTCAAAATTCAAATATGTACTTATGAACTGTTATGAAAGACGAAGAAGCTAAAATAGTACCCCCACTTGAGTCAAAATCAGAAGGAAGCTTATAAATATATATAAAACATAAACGAAAATTCGAGACATACAGTAGAAGTATACAGCTAAAATACCGAAATATGCCTATTCAACTAATGAAAGTATACTCTGATTTGAATTACTTATTTTCAAGAAAAAAACCAGGATGTCAATGGTCATGAACTGATAAACGATCACAATTTAATAGGTGATTGTAATTTGTAATGTTTGAGTGCGCGAAATTAACGAAAAACCTAAAGGAAAAGGCGAATTTCATAAGTTATATCCTGAACTCCGGAAAGATGCAAATCGATTGTACACTATTTTAGAATGGACTGTGAAAGTTTTGATGAAATATTGAATCTCATCAGGAACGACATTACAAAAGAGCAAAATACATTTAGAGAACCGATTGGGGCAACAGAACGACTAGCAGTCACATTGAGGTAATATAATAATTTATTATTTCGTAATACTTTACTTTTTTATTCAGTTGAAAAGTATATGTAATATGTATGGATTTGACACGTTGGTATGGTAAAAATCTTCATACCACGTTGCAGCAAAAGAATTGTTATCAGTCTCACGTATATTGGACGAGTTTAATGATGAGTTGTCATATGGCATAATATTCGATGTATAAGATGAAGCAGTGGAATTGTATGAAAAACATGTACCCGGTCGACTTTCCGTCTGAGTTTCCGCTTCTTAAGCCAGTTCTTCTTCCATTATGATTTTGACGATTTTATATTTCACTATAGTCTGGCGTCGATTTGACAGTTTTTTAACGCTTTCAGAATATCCTTGAAAAGTTGAATCTATGCTGTCGCAGTTATTTTTAACATCCAAAAAGTGAATAATTTTATCAACATTAAATTAATTGTTCGATGCCGAATTTTCTACCGCTATTCTTTTCCGGATTTAATTACAAATATATGAGATTTGTGCCGATCTTGCTAACGTTTTCTGAACTCTTTGTCGCTTCTTTTTGTGTATTGCTTGCTTCAATTCCTTCATCTACTACTTCAGGACTTTCTGCTATGTCATCAGTAGTAGCAATGTTGGACTCTGTTTGCGCAAATTGCAAAAAAGGTCTAAAAACTTCCATGTGCTGTGCCCATAGCCAGGATTTATACCAATGGATTTAGCCCCTTGCCCAGTTCTGGTTTTCTCGGAACGTAAGTGCTTTGAGAAACAATCACTTAAGTTTTTCCAGCGTTTTTTAAGTCTTCGCCTGCAAATAAAACATTTCCCAATCAACATGTGCCTATTTCCATAATCAAACTATATTCAAAATAAACATATTGTTATTGTAATCAAAGAAAACCAAATTCTAAAACCTACTACCTTTTTCTAGGTTTTTAGCTACTGGCAATTCATACAAAACAATTGGTCACAGCTTTTGATTAGGATTTTCAACCGTTGCCATAATTGTGGAAGAAGTTTGCAAAGCTATATGGGATAGATTGCAGCCAATTCATATGCCAGAGCCCGCAAAAGAGTTATGGGATAAATCAATTTTGGGCTATGAAAACTTGTGGCACTTTCCCAATTGTTTAGAAAGTATAGATGGAAAGCACGTGACCATTAAGTGTCCAAAAAAAGCGGATCAAATTACTTTTGTTACTTAAAAAAGTTTTCAATTGTACTTATGGCAGTTGTTGAACCCGAATACAAATTTACTTGTATATATGTAGGTGCATATGGTAAAAACAGTGATGGAGGTATTTTTGAGGCGTCAGCTTTAGGAAGAAGATTTGAAAATGGCACATTTAATATTCCTCCAGATAGGCCTTTACCCGGCGAAAATGATGAAGTTCCGTATGTTTTCATAGGCGATGAAGCTTTTACCTTAAGTAATTACTTAATGAGACAATTTCCCTATAGACAATCACGGCATGGTCGTAATAAAGAAAATTTTAATTACCATTCATGTGAAGCTTGTCGCGTTATGGAAAACGCATTTGGAATGTTAGCACACAAGTGGAAATTATTTTTTAGACCATTAGAAGTAAAAGTGGAACCAGCTAATAAACTTGTAAAAGCAGCCTGCGTATTGCACAACTTTTTACGAGAAAAAAATATTGACGAACAATTTCTTCATGTACAACAAAATAACGATAGGCCAGTACAGATACAAGCATTCCAAAATATTCCAGTTGAAGGAAGGAGAGCAGTCAACCTAACTTTTACCATTCGTGAAAAACTTGTCACTTATTTCAGTAATTTATAAACCCAACCACTACTTACTCATAATAAATTTATTATTTGAAAAAATTAATATTTTCCTTACTGGTATGTTTTCCAATCTCCTTCTCTCCTTTACTCTCTCCTTTATTTTTTGTGCGTAAATTCTTGTAGTCAGCATGTGACATATCATACAACACATTATGTTTTTTCACGTGTTGCATTTTCTACTTCAAAGGTATTCTTGGTGGCTAATCCCTGCTTTGTTGGAGCAGTTTTCCAGTTCTCTTCTAGGTCGATCCACTAATGAAAGCTTTCCTATATGTATTTCCTTTGATATCTGAATGTCCAGGCACACGATACCCAAAAATTTCTCCTCTTCAGTTCTTCACGACATTGTCGGACCAGCCTCGTTGTCACTTTTGGGTTCATCAGTGTCCGTTCATTTCTTTAAGTCCTCAAATTATTGTTTTTTGCGCAATGTGAGATTGCATATAATCCAGTTTTGAAAACCGGTGCGTATTTACTAAGCTCTTAGATGAAATGTGAATTTCTTTCCGAATATGACTTTATGTTGTTCATGAATTTAACCGTGAAGTTTATGTTGGAGACGTATTTTCGCTGCCATGTAGGTCAGGTTAGCTTAGGTTAGGTCTAAAGTGAGTGGCTCTATTCGACCCTCCACCGTAACCCGCAAGGGTTTATTGTAGTTCACAGCTATTCAGACTCGACCAAATAAACCCAACTTATTAACGAAGCCGATTAGTTTGTATGGTGAGTTATCTTTCAAGTCAGACGGTAAGAGTACGGCTCTGCCGAACTCTAAAAACCTGATTCGGTCCCCAGCAGGGTAGGCACAAAGTATGTGCTCTGCTATTTCATCATTTTCCAACTGTCTTCCGACAGTCCGAGTCTCTGCATATGATATTCAAATTTGGTATCAAGCTTCGAAGGGGGAATAAACTCCTTGGAGTGAGCCACTCCTGGAAGATTCTACCAGGAGTCCATAAATCTTGCCATCCAGGTGTTCAATCTTTGTTTGATAAAGCCTAAAGCGGTGCTAATGACAGGTTATGTTTCAATGAAGCTGCTTGCAGCACCCTCCTTTGCAAGGGAGTCAGCAGCCTCATTACCTTCCACGCCAGTATGGCCAGGAATCCAGACCCAGACCAGAGACAATCTGTTAAGTCTTCCTATCGAGGAGAGTCGTTTTGGCAATTTGCTACCAATTTAGACGTTTCTCAGTAGGAGCCAAGAGCTTCCAACGTCGCTCGACTGTCCGAGAATATTTTATTGACTTATGTATGAGGTTGGATTCTTTCAATCTCTCCGCACATGATTCAATAACGTCAATTTTCGCTTAAAATACAGTCGCATAGGTTCCTAGGCAGGTTGATATCTTTGTCCTGGATCTGCGACAGAAAACACCTGCACCAGTCCATGTAGCTTCTCTTTCCAGCCATGCAGGTTAAGAACATATTTGATGTTCTGTCCTACACGTATTTCGATTTTTCAATTATTTGTAATTCGTTTTATTTTTCAGTCTGAATTGGCCCACTCGTGTCTCCCCCATTAATACAAGATATAAAGGAGGACTATTCAAAAGTGCTTCTAATGTAGCTATTTGTGAGGTTTTCATTAAACGCATTATTCCCAAATAAGCATATTTTTACACTCTCAGTCTATTAATAATGGTCATTTGTTTTAATATTTGACCATCACACCATTTATGGATATATTATGGGTTCAGAGCCAATAAATCCTGATTGTTTTCAGTCCTCATGTCTTACCCCCGCCTTTCTTTTTCCAGGTTAGCCTAGGATCTGGTATCACTTCCAGATATTTAACATTTCCCCACAAATGCATCCCTTTTCATCGAAGTTTTAGAGGTCCTAAGCATTCTTTCTTGATCCTTTTGGTGAACGGTCGATTTCTATGGACTATAATACTAAGGACCTACTTCTTACTATATTAGTAAATTCACCTGCATAGTTTATCACTTATATACATTATGGTCCACAAACCGTAGTGTTTTTTTATAGTAGTAGTAGTTTATTAATCACTAAATTACATGTATTTATAAAAGCATACAATAGAAAAAATGGTCGATTAATATAGTTATAAGGAAAGGTTTGTCAAAACGAGTCTTATTATTGAATTTTTATCAGAGGAAACAGGTATTGATGATTCACTTAAGTTTTTGGAAAATTTGTGTGCGAAACATCAATATAGAAATTCTTTCCTTTGAAGATGGTCAAGATTTAATCTATTTTGAGTTACTCAGGCAAAACATTTTAGTGCTTATATTTGTAAATAGTATTGTTAATATTATCTTTTCTTAAAAAGAAGTGAATAATATTCTCAGTATACTACAAAAAAGACACATTGAATATAAAATCTAAAAGTATAAAATCTCTAAACGTGTAGATAATGTAAAACATATAAAAAGTAAAAATTTAAATGTGTAAACGTAAAACAATATGAATGTTAAAATATAAAATACAAACTCGTCTTAAATTGAAAGTATTCAAAATGCTAGGTAGGGATGAAAATATATATCAAAACTGAGACATTTATTCAGTAGAATTTGTTTATAGTAATGTTATATTTTCATTTTTGAGCTATTTGATCACTGAAATTTTGAATAACTCAAACACATATTCCGTTTTTATATGATCTGGAGCAAGATTAAATAATTTGGGTACAATGTATGCAATTGATCTTTGTCCAATAGCTTTGTTCATTTTCAGTATATCTATGTTGATGATTTTTGAACTTATTTCTGTTGTCGAATATAAATAATAATATTTGTTTAAAATAAAGATATCTCAAACTCATCAGACCACAATATTGGAATATTTGTGCCGATGGGAAACGAAAATTTAAATTATAGATTATTTTGAGAAATCGTTTCTGTAATACCATAAGCGGTTGTACAGTTGTACTATAGACCCTACCCAATCCTAGATTTCCATACATTAAGAGAGACTGAACTAACGAAAAATATATACTGCGCAAATCATTGATACTCAGTATATTTTTAAGTGTACGAAAAACATACAAGAGGGCACTGAGTCTTTTACAAAGATAGTCTATATGTATTTTCCAATTAAGATTATGGTCAATGTGCTTTCCGAGATATTTTACTGAACTGGATTTTTTCAAAGTTATGTTCTTATTTCTGCTAGTTAAATGAATATTGATGTTTTGTGCATTGGGAAACCCATGACTGTTACTACAAAATGAAATGTAAGATGTTATATTTATTGTCAGTAAACTATCATCAAGCCAATTTACTATAGTGTCAATATCGTTTCTTGTATGAGATATTACATCTTCCCAGGTTGCTCCATCAATTATTAGTAGGTACTGTATCATCAGCATATGAGACCACTTTTCCAGAAATATCAATGGATAACATATCGTTAGGATTAGCCCTAAAACAGTGCCCTGGGGAACTCCGTATTTAATTTCTAATGGGTTGCTCAGTAGTCTGTTTTAAACATTTGTACTCTTTCATTGGGGTAGTTTCTGATTAGATCATTTGTCAGACCTCCGATACCAAGATTATTTAATTTTGGCAGCAATTTTTCATTACATTACAAGATTTTATAACAGTCGGAACAAAACGCAATGATAGAAACAAATTTCTGTAATTAACAAAACCTTTTAGTAGGACGATAAGATGCCAGTCTCTTCATGTATGTAGGCTGACGCTTTATACGTGAAGGAAAGATCATTGTATTGTTTTCTCGGTGAACGTTTTTGTATTCCATCCGTTTATGCTCCGTTGAGCAAATTGCAATTGTTCCTGTGGTTATTAAACTTTGTCTGTATACATTCCGTCCGGCACACTTGGGTCCTATCTGCGTTTGCCATCTTCGCCCCGCATGTAACACTCGAGAGGAGAAAAGAAATATCTTTACATCGGAGTTCACAACAATATAAATGACATGCATAATTCATGAAATAATTTGTACATGGGGAAAACATTGTTTTTTTATCAGTTCGGACTTCCATTGTCTAATATAATATAAATTGATTTGAAATCCCTGAAAAAAATTAAAAAAGATTAATCGAAAATAGCATACAAGCAACAAACAAAAAAATGAAAAATTTAAATATTAATAAAAGCTGAAAATTAAAAAATATTAACAAAAATTTAAATTTAAAGATTTATCAATTTATATTATATTAGCCAATGGAAGTCCGAACTGATGAAATACACCACAAAACATTGTCAACTTCCTTCAGACAAACATTGTTTTTTTTTATAATATACATGAAGGTTGCAGATATCTAGTCATTTCATTAGGTGAGGTTTAAGGTGACGAAAGTATTGAAATGAAAAATAAAAATGAAAGTTTCTGAAAATAGTCCTATCTAATTACTTCAATCTTTTATTCAAATTGACCTGTTATCTGACCTACCTGAATTAGCCTCGATCAATTAAGCTGAAATTTTACAAATACGTGACAATGTACGATCAAACGATTGCTACCATTTTTAAATTCAATATGGCGGACTCAGAAAGACGATCTATAATTTCCATAATAACTATTATGAGATTGGTATCATATAAAATATAGGTTAGGATACATATATCTAACCTAACCTATTATTTGTTTGTTGAGCAGAATACGATAAGTAAAAGTGAAGTCATTCTTAATCTAATATAGTGGACGCTCCATTATTGATAGCTCAAAACTAACAGAAAAAAGAGGTTGTGATAATGATGCATTAGCAGAAATGATTGGTTGAGACATATAAGTGAAATACAAATTGTGAAATAAACAAAGCTCTCGATGAAGTTTACTCAGCCAGTGTGCTACAGAGAATAAAATATGTGTTACTTATTAGAATAGGGAATCAATTCTAGTAAACAGAAAGAGTTTTCAGTAAACATAGATATAGTTACGAATATATTAAATTAAAAAACAATGAAGGAAAAAAACAAAAATTATTTCTAAAATATTTTTGGCATAAACCATTTGTTACTGCAACGGGAGAGAAGAACCACATCATTTGATAAGAATTTTTCAATGCTATAATACGCCTTTTGATGGTAGTTTTCATAATTTCAAATTTTCATCAACCTGTGTAGAGTTAGATATTTTTTTTCGAATATTATGAAAATGAGGTGCGCGTGTTAAAAAACAAAAATATTTTTTTCAAATGAAGAACTACATGTAAAGTGAGTTCGAATTACATCAATAGATCAAGCAATAATGTCGATATATCAAGGATGTTACGTACAGCGCCATCTGCCCGCGAATAGATCAAGCAATGATGGCGATATATCAAGAAGGTTACGTACAGCGCCATCTGCCAGCGAATAGATCAAGCAAAGAGAGTTACAAACAAACATACATTCATACAGGTGAAGCTAATAATAGCGTGTTAATAATAATAAGCCTAGTGATCCGTTTTTGAGCAACAAAGATTCTTGCGATCCCATACTATAATGTTGTATGAAATTGTGGAATACACGATTCCATAGTAAATCTATAATAATGAATCTGTGTTCAAAATATTTCTTTGAGTTGCCAGAATGTTGAAGACTTTTGTTAATTTTTGACCATTTGTATTTGTTCCTCTCAAGTTAAGTTGCAATCTACAAGCGTTCTTAAGAATTCAGATGAAGTGGAGGTCTGAACGGTAGTATTATGGATTTCGAAAGTAAGGTATTCTATGTTTAGTGTAAAACTCAATTATTACTGTTTACGTATGGTTTATTATAAGTGTATTATACATGCATCTTTCAGAATCGAGTCAGTGTTTTTTTAAACAGTTCTTGGAGATCAGGACCCGATATCACAATGGAGGTGTTATCAGCATGCATGAAGACACATAATAGACTTCCAACAATTTTCCTATTTTCAAAACCATAGTTCACAGTAGACATATTAAGTTTACTTATTGCGACCTCAAAACGATGAGCAGCCACAGTCTGTCGCATATTTCTGATATGTACCGCTCTTGGTGAAATCAAGTGTGCCATGACACCAAAGTTCACTTTCGACAGAAACTTCGTGATTATAGTCAGAAACCGCGAAAAGTGAATTAACAGTGATCCCAAGAATGAGATCGCCAAAAATATCTGGTGTTCAGATGGTGGAAATCGTTATTTTTCCGGTAAGTTTGAAAAGTAAAAACAAATTGTTAGGGCAACTTTTAAAACAACTAACAGAAATAGATCTTGATCTCTTTCGGTGCGAACAAAACCTGAGAATATCAATGAAAATACGAAAGAACGCGTGTTTACAGAATATCTTGTTTATGTTAGGAAGAAAAAATAACAGAATACGGGATGGTGGAAAATATTTTGACATTAACTGAGGCGTTAAAATCACCAACAAAAATAGAGACAGGTTTAGCATTGCTAAACCGGTTTGTTATCGTTCGATGAAAATGCTATTGACACAGGCAATAACGTTGATTTCGATAACACCAATTGGTATAAATCTCCCTTCAGAATGCCGTGTAAACAGAGTATATTCTTGCACCACCACCGCAAGTCGTAAGCAGTTGGATTTTCAATTTTTAGTGGCAATATTCGTGCATTTGAGCAAAGATATTATCCTATACACTTTTACATGATATATACCTGCACAAATCATAAATTTTTAATAGTAACAAATGAAAAATTCTTACGTCTGAAAACCTGCGACTTAGGTAGGACTGCTATACGAATCCAACCTTCATTGTTGAAATATTAGCTTTGCTATGATAATATGAGGTCATTGGACTATCAAATACGTTATTCGGGCATTTGCCATTTGTTAAAGTGAAATACAGGATACTTTCTTTGAAATCCGAGGCATTGTCTAAATCATTAGAGGTGACATTCCTAATCAGACCTATTAGAGTTTAGTATAAAATTATAAGAGTATATAATTAACTTATATTCGCCAAGGATACGAACTTCTGGAATAAGAAATAGAAAAAACTTTAATAAAATAAAAAATAATCAAATTCGAGTTTACGACTTGTACGCAAATGTGAAATATAATTTTAAAGGTACATACCGATAGGTTTTTCTGGAGTTTTCAGGTGATATTTGCTTCGCTAGGTTAATTAATTGATTGATTGATAAAATGGCATCAAAGGTTTCGTTCAACTTGTTGAGATATAAAATTTGTGTTCGGTGAAAATAATTTAAGCACAGTTAGTTAGTTGAAGGTAGCTAAGAAGGGTATTAGAGCGAGCCCAAAAGTTTAATACTCAGTAATTAATAAGTTTAATAAGCAGTAAAGTTTTCGTTGTTCAATCCCCCACAAAAACGCCTTTTAAAGATCATCACAATTATGTTCGTTCATTTACAACTTGATGAAGTTAATAAAAATTTCACCGTATCATACGAAGAATTAGGATATTATCAATAATAGGTACTGTTATGTTTTTCCCAGTGGGTTGACCAATAATTGACCACACTGAATAATCAAACTTAACTTCATTTCACTTCAAATACAATAAACACTTCAACTATTATTCGCATATCTATCGCTTTACTAGATCGTTTCGCGTACCGCACTGTAGCTTCCACTTGATATGCTCCTGGCTAGCGTTTATATATCGTAATCGAATACGGCAGAATATTCGCCGAAATTCCATCGAAATCGGTAGCATTATTCTCGCTACATCTAGAGCGCCAGCGAACATCGTACATTCGCGCGCTCTTAGCTACGTCACGTTTGGTTTATGGTTACCAGTGGCGGCCGGCGTAATTTTTTTTAAGACATGATTCACAACAATACTATTAAACTAATATGAGTCTTATTTTCTGATTCATTGATTGGTGAATTAATGGTCTTTTTCAAGTGAAATGTTTTCATTTTCATTGTCGGAATTACTCATTTCAGATTATTTCCTTATATAGTTACATGACATTTGAAAATTTTTCAACACCAAGTACGCAGTAATGAAAGTAATCGATAAATAAAAGTAATTGGGTCAACTTGTTATCAACTTCTTTGTACGATTTTGAAGTTTTGCCAAAGAGGCAAACATTCTTTGCTTACCTGTATTTCTTGATTCTTTGCTGTTGAAAATAGTAGATTTCTTTTTCCATAAAATTAGAGTCGAATTGACAAAAAAGTTTTCATTTGTCTACCACGATTGTTGACAACAAATCGATTAATTTCGAAGGTATTCATAAATAGATTCCATTATCCCGTTTTACTTACCTACCTTAAATACACTTCGCTCCATGTCTGTTTCAGAATATAATTAAATACGATTCTTCCCTTTTCAAAGTATCTTCAATGAGTCGCAATTTCTATTTCGATATTTCGTAAAAACAAAAACACCACTACTAAACCAAATAATGGCCTTTAATTATCATTCAAACTTTTACATTCATCGTCACTGAGATCAGGATATTTCAAATCATCATTATAGTAGAGAAATACAGTGGGAATGTAATACGTCTGAGGTAATCCTAATTTTGTGAAAAGGTCTCTTTCATCAGGAAAACCGTTTTCATCGAGGGTTTTGTTCATGAATATATTCTTGTCAATGCCTCTGAAAAAAAGTAATATTTCTCCTGGCATCATATAATAAACATGACAATTTTGTTCAAATTGTAATAGAAATATTTTTCGAGAAAGACTCGTTTTTGGGAAAAAACTTTTTGGTTTTCTATTTCTCCATCTTCATAAAAAAATTTAACAGCTTCTGAAGAGAGGTATAAAGTAAGTAACTTCAATAAATGCATCTCAAATATGTTTTGATCATGCACAAGAGTTTCTTTCACATACAAACTGAAAGAACCATTTGAAATAACTACTTTCAAAAAACTATACAAAAACCACTTTTTTCTATTCAGTTTGCACTCCAAACATTTATTATGGAATTCAAACCGATGTAGTTCACAAAAACGCTTCACAACGTGCCTAATATTTAAAAGAGTTCCGAAATGAAATTTCACTTACATGGAGAAATATAGTCCCCAGATTCTAGATAAGTTTCGGGCAAAACACTTGTCCTCTAATCCTCAAGAGCAATTTATTGAATTACTTCAAAGACGAAACATTAATTTCTCGCATGAGGTAACGACTTTATTTTTTTACGAACTGTCAATATAACAAGACCATGATTGTCTCTTTCGGTCACATAAAGTCGTAATATTTTGCAAAAAATGAAGGTTTCTTTTTTACAGTCATCCAAAAAGTCCTGATTAGAATTTAAAGACAACTTCTCGAGGTACACCTAGGTATGATATTTTTCAAAGTAAATAAAAGTTTACCCAATATTCACAATGAGGTTGAATTTGAAAGAAGCTTTGCTGATCATTGGGTCCGAGAAGCATGTACCCTGAGTACGCGCAGTGAGCCAAGAATGACAGCCTTCTGCATTTGTCCGACTAAGATTTCTGCCTTAGTGCGGCAAGCCAGCGTGATTTTGAGATTAGAGAGTATTATTATTATTATAATTTTTCAACTTAACTTTGAGCTAGGAAGACCCTATACATTCATGAGGGCGTGCCAACATTATCAACCAATGACCACTCCCCACACTGTGGGTAAAGTGATCATTGGGTCCGAGAATCATGTGCCCTAAGTAAGCGCAGTGAGCAGAGAATGACAGACTTCCGCATTTGTCCGGTTAAGATTTCTGCCTTAACGCGGCAAGCCAGGAGTAGAGGGGGGGGGCATCATTCCACCAAGAACTCCATTAATCAGAACAACCATCTTGACAGAGTGGTCTGGAAAGAGTCTGCAGAGTTCGAAGAGAAAATGTCGAAATTAGCTTGTATGAGCCCGAGGGTGGCGAACGAATAGTTCCAATAAATTCGACATTTCTCGTCCCCCACAACGGATTCAATATTCCCGTAGCCTAGGACAACACCGGTGTCTCGTGGCAACACATAATCCACACACCATCTGCTATCCTCTAGAATCTAGAACATTCCTTACAGTTATGAAAGGGACGAGTCGTTTAAAAAAAATCGTTTATTTGCATTTGAAGTAAAATGGTAGGCGAAGATGAAGGAAACTATAAGCGAAGTAGGAAAGTTGTCACAAAAACGGAAGTTTGTGTTATTTGCTGGAGATTGAAAAATGTTATATGCTTAAACAAGAACGAGATAGATAAGTTTAGAACTTATCTTTGACAGATGTCAAAAAAGTAAGACCAAGTCCGATATGAACTCAAAAAATCCAACGCAATATCGTGTTTAATAAATAAAGCAACTCGTTTTGTTACCGCTGCGGTTTATTATAATAATAACTTGTTTCGACAGTACAATATCAATTTCTGTTTCAACCCCAGCCAAATTATTGTCTCTCGTTACCTTGGTTACCATCCTCTCTTTCCATCTAATACAGTAAATTTAACATATCGTCTATCATTATTATTATCAGACATCGTTCGTGTACAAACAAACAACTCGCTGATATTTAACATGAATAAGAACGGAAGGGCATATCTCTATTTTTTTTCTGCGAAAGCAAAGCATAATGTGACAACGATAATATAAATTCAAATACGTTGACATTATCCCTTCAAACTGTTCAAAGCATCGGTGAACAAGCATAGTGTGATCTCAGCCTAAGAAAGATAAGTCACGCCATGCAAAGCATCTGCAAGGATGACCTACGTGATAAATATTACAAAAATGGTTGAGGAATGTATTTCAACATCTATCGGTGTATTAGCTGGGAAGCTAGATTAATAATAGTTTTTCTGTATGCGTTTCTGTTGGAAGTGAATAAATTATTTACGTCGTTTGTGATGACTTCTCAAAGATTCAAATTGTGGTCCATCGTTTCACAGACAAAATACATACAGTTTTAAATAAAAAAAAATCGTGTCATACACAGATAAAATAAATACAGTTTTCAATTGAGTCGTGTCATACAAAAAAAATGGCGTGAACTTGGAAAATGTTTTACCTCCACGTATAACTCTCGGCATTTGAGTTGAAAAATGAATATCTTTCTTGTATTCGGAGAAACGTGTCTTCGCAGCAAACATTCAGCAAAACTTCCTTATCGAAAGGGTTCGTCATATTTATGATTCTCAATGGTCGCACTCGTTTTGTTAGTAATCCTATCTGATACCTGAAAATGAAGGTATATTTTCAATTATAGTACGTATAAAATATTTTCAATAAATACATATTTTTCACATAAAGTCAGTAGGCATACTTGAAGACTGGTTGTTGATCAAATTATCGTTCAGGCCAGTCACCACTCCCTACACTGTAGGTTAATGAACTGACACCTATCAAAAAACAACTACTCCCCGGGCTAATAACACAAAGGGCTTTGGATTAAATCCGGTACACATGCTGTTGGTGGTATAACTTCCAACAGCACTGTAACAACAGTGAAGATTCCTGCACTTACACCTGTCGGATATAATCCAACGCCCTTCGTAGTATTAGCCAGGAAAGTAGTTGTTTTCTGATAAGTGTCAGGCCATTAACCTACAGTGTAGGAAGTTGAGACTGGCCTGAACTAATTGTTCCTTTAGATAATTTGATAAATACATATATAACTTTTGACTATAATTTTGGAATTTTCTCTATAAAATATAACCCAGTTAAAAATAACTCCCAGTAAATACGCAAAAGGTGCCGACTTCATTCTAGCAAGTATAGGTAGATACATTCGCCATGTATTTATTGACAAAATAGTTGCTTTGCTACGACAAGTTACTGACTAATTGCGAGCTAAGGACTACGAGGTCTTACCTTATATCGCATGATTGGACGATAGCAAGTGATAATCGATCGTTCGGCCTGCGGCTTGAACCACCGTTTCACACAACAGTCGATTGAGGGAGTGAAGCAAAGCACCCACGTCAACCTGACTGGCTACCGTCCTACGTATTGACTTTTCAGATTGACCTTTATTACATTTCAGTAGATTCTCAATTGATTTACCTAACCTTTTTTTTCTTTCACTCAAAAAACAGTAAAAATTAATATCACTGTTCTAAGGTCTTGGACCAAAATATCATATTGGCTTTCTTGTGTCAAATTGGTGGAGAATAACTGCTCTCATTGTCAAAAATGGTTGCAAAGTTGATTTACAAAAATCATAATTTTGTTAAACTTCTGTAAGATGATGCAACCCCGTTATTATATTTCAAGAAATTACTCACTTTGGATCATTCCACCAAGGCAGTCTTCCCAATGGTCTCCAATTTGTGGCTGGAACTTGAAGCGGAACATCTGGAATTGGACCATGAGGGCAGTAAGGCACTCTGCACCCATTCTCGGGATTTATGTAGTGTTGAATATCTCCAGTTTTCTCATCAAACCAGCAGGAAATGTCCTTTCCCGCCATGGATAGTATAGGTCTGATACATTTTTCTCCCTGGTGTTCCTTGATGAGGGGAGTAACATTTAGCACCCTACCTAGTATAGAGACCCAACAGTCATCCGGTGTGTTATGTATTACCACTTCAAAGGGAGCAAAGTAAGGCCAGTTTGGTTGGTTTTTTACAGACATCTCGGACATCTCTGAACGTTTTGTCACATTGACACTTCCTAACATAGGTATAAAAAAAGGTATTCAAATAATGGTTAATTTTCAATAGCACGATATATTTGCCAGAAATATTACGTGAAAACTTTCAAATAAAAATAGTATGACACTTTACAAATATTGTCATGAGTGAAGTAATGTGACAAATTGAAACTGAAAACTCAGTGGATCGCCTAAAAGACGGGTTTTGGAGTAATTACTCCTCATCAATGTAGGTATTTATCTATCTCTGACAGAGTCACCAAGACTGTTAATATTTAAAAATGTATTTGTCAAATATAACTCTTCCGATTGACTATTTCAAAAAATCTGCTTTGGTAAACTAGAAAAATGGCATCTTTTTTACGATAGCTTTGACCATTTACATTTTCATCCATGATAAATATTTTCGAAAATGAACCTTTCTTCAGGGTTTACAAGCTTTATTATTGAATTGTTATTTATTGTAATACAACCAGAAGGTCAAAAATGGATAAACTAGGTATGTTTTATTATTTTGTTGTGACAGATCCTCTTTTCTGTCAGTATTTTCAGTCAATATATACTGTATCTTGACACTAACTTTCACAATTTTACTTTCATTTCCAAGGCACTCTATGGTTTTTTTTGTTTGTCAAAAACGGCAAAAAAATTAGTAATTGTGACAAAATCAGTCCCACTAAAGAAATATCTCTTTGCATAAATTATGTTGGGAGAAAAATATGTGCACCAATAGTCACACTGGTCTCAGACCAGTTTTCGCTGTAGTTACTAAACTACAAACAACACCACTAGTAAAATTGACAATAAAATGTTATAAGGAAAGTTAGGAAGATACTAATCATTACTACTTATGTCTTCATTTTTCTATAAAATCGTTCAGTGTCAACCAGGTCTGAAAGACTATACGCGACTAATGAAAAGTTAATGAAATAACTGTTAATTTTATTTGAAATTTCGTTTGCTTTATGTAAACTCGAAACATTTTTTCAGTTAATTGTACCATTGAATTTACTAATTAGTCGTGATAACCTAGTTATGGAATTATCTAAGGCTGAATACGAGACTGCTGCCCAGGTAGATCAATGTAGTTTTGAAATTACAGAAGATTTGAACTCACTTCCTTCGAACTCAAAGTCAAGAAAAGAACTAATTTACTGTTAGATGTTTCATGATGAGTAAATTAGAGTTGGGCCAATTTTCCTCGTTTTCAAAACACACCATATCAATTCATTATTTTCAATATATTGAAATAGTCATTTGAACACTGTAATGAAGCGTTAGGCTTCCTGAACAGTGTTGAGCACTGTATATATTATTTTATTGCCGTAGCTAGCACATACTGAACTAATAGTTCGATTACCATACAGAAGTTTTGATCCAATCCAAGCCCTGATCATTGGGTCCGAGAATCATGTGCCCTAAGTAGGTAAGCACAACGAGCCCANATATTCAACGTTTTGGTTTTGAAGCAATTTTCAACAAAGTATGACGACATCAAGACCTCAATCTGCCTATTTTCCAAGCGAAGATTGTGGGTTCACAGGCTATGATCTGGTATTTATGTCTTTGCACGTCTCCGTAATGATCTCTATGGATGAGGAAATCTTTGTGAATCCTCTGCATTAGCTTTTCTTGATTTTATATAATTTCTAGAAATGTCGATTCGTTTTTCAATGGCACTCCAGGATAGCTTCCCAAATCTTTACTAACGCAGTTTTTTTTTGAGATTGGTCAAATCACAAACATTGACATAAGAACTTGGCAAGCTAACTTGGGTGTCTGACCAATAAGTGGTTCCACTTTTGCTTTTAGTGATTTTCATCAAATACTTTTCTTAATTTTTCTCAGCTTGTTTTCAGTCAAAAACCACCTGCTCAGTACTAATGATGAAGCAACAGGATGAAACAGCCATATACCGGTAGATCTTTAATTGAAATAAAATTGTAAATGATCGAAAAAGTACTTATCTATTCACCTTTTCATTTTAAAGGAATCAAGATGCATAGAAATACCAAGGTCTAAGCACTTGGACCCCTCCTTATGAAAAATATTTTGACAAAAACAATCTACTGCACTCTTGATTCTTCATGAAATAAAGAGATTCAACATACTGAGTGTTCTTTGGAATAAATAAAAGAACATAACCCTGCAAAGGCTTTTATTTTGTGCTGAAAAGTAGTATAATTCACAAATAATAAATAAAATAGCAAACTAAAGGACAAACACGATAATAAAATTTCAACATTAAAACAAAATCTTAAGTATAAAAAAAATAAAGGTGTAGTTAAATTAAAATACCTGCATACTTACTAATTTACTTATCAATTCAGAAAGGTTAAAATGTTTTTAAAAAAGTGTTAAAAAGATGTGAGGAAACATATTCCCGTAATATTATTCATTAAGTATCTTTCATAAATTTTGCAACACATTTCGAAAAGGCCAACATAATTTAGCACCCAATTATAAAATTCATGAATATAAACTTTAAATATATATACAGAAGAGTGCATAGCATCACATCAGCACACCTAAGCAGTAAAAAGCTTAACTTAGGATATACATACATTTTTTTTATTGACATTTATATCGTCAATTCGTTTATTGATAGATGTGTATAAATTAAACTTAAAATATTTTTCATTACTTAAAGTCTCTTGTATCCACACCACTTGAATATTCATTACTAATCATTACCACAGCTCTATACACACATAGTAGTTAAGGGCATAAAGATATAAAAAAATTTAATCGTAACAGTTATTCCATATCATAAGCTAAACAGTATATAAATTGTTAGTAATTCTTTCAGTCTGCAGTATTAGTCTGAATAAGTGTAGATTCAGTTATTAGTTTGTTATCGATTGGTGAATTATCCTTAACCAGTTGAGGTTCACTATCGATAGTTGAGCTTATGTTGTTAACCGAGATTTCCTCAGTGACTATTGAGGCCTCATTTTCTTTAGGTTTCTCGATTTTTGTAGTAGTCTTGGTCTTGCTAGATGCATTTCTGATGATTTCTATTGGTTTTTTACCAGTTGTAGATTTCATAGTAGTTGTGGTCGTTTTCGATTGGGTCGTTCGTGTTGCTGAGACCTAAAAAATAATAACTCTTTATTTTCCCAAAAATCTATTGCAATTTGTTAGAAAAATAGAATGTATATCAACAAACAAAGCAAAAAAACACTTGATAATTTGAGAAGGAAGTTACCATTTGATATTTAGAAAAATAAGAAATGTTGAGTAAAAAAGTATATATTGTTTTTTTTTTTCGAATTCAGAAAATATATTTTGAATAACTACTCATTTCTAATTTATATGAAATTTTGAGGGATCTCGAGGATGCATGTCGTGTTCATGAACTCATTCACATCATTAAAATTAAANTAGCACATTCGAGTCCACCAAGAGCGGTACATGTCAAAAATACTCGACGGACTGGTTGACATTATTTCATTGTATGTTGTCTGTGTACAAGCTGTAATAGTCGGCATATTTTTGAAATAAAGATTATTATTAATAATAAACTAATGTTATCTTTATGAATAAAATGAGTGCTTAGTCTTATCATATTATTCAAAAAAGGGGCTGATGAGGTAATAAGACAGGTGTCTTATTACAAAACATTTAAGTACGCCATTGTGAATGATAGTGTTTTTATAAAGAGTTTATTTTGAACCCAATTAATTGCTTTCTTTCTTCTTTTGGAATATTCCAACATTTTTGTATAAAGATTGAGAAGTAAAAAGCAAAGATTTATCCCAAAATTCCGAATTTCCTTACAGCTTAACCTGAAATGGAACAAAGTCCAAAATTTTTGATACAACCCTGAATATTTTTGAACTATTTGATAGAATGACAATGATCACAATTCAAAATGATGGGGCCATTTTCTCCAAATTCAATGTAGCTATTACATCAACTATGGAAATATTGCCAAACAACTTGAAATAATGAGAAAATTTAATTTTCCAGCAATTCACCTACATTTATTGTTTTTAAATGCCATTTTTAACTTCGCCATCCATCTTGAAAATTGTAATGAGAGGTGGTATTTTTCAAAATTCAATATTAAAGTTGTACCTCGTGAACAACAACAAAATGTCGACATTACTATGCAGTTCATTCTAATGAGGCAGTGAAAAAATGAAAGTTGGCTCAATTTAATGAACCAGTGAAAAAGTTTGAAAGCTATTCCATCTATCAATCTTTTTTCTTTTTGTTATTTTTCACATTATTTTCAGCAAACCTTTTCACTTAATACCAATATCATGGAGGTGCATAAAAAAACAAGTCTTTCATCTAGAGCGGTCCGCCATATTGGACGTAGAATGGCGTTGCTAGCTAACCATGCAGTGTCACCCAAACTAAAGGTGTGTGTGCAGAATTTGAGGTTAAGATAACCTCAAAATCCTACACATATATAATAAAAGGAAGAAAATGAATTTGTTGGAAGCCATGGAAATTAATAAATCAATTGAAAACCCGAAATATATACCCCTAAACGATCAACTTGATTTATGTAGGTCTCCACTCTTGAATTAATAAGTTTGACAACCCCTATAATCTTCAGCGTTGAATTTTATAGTTGGCACCCTTGTTCATTCAACTACCTCGCCTTCTAGCTTACCTAAAAACTCCCTATATAACCCAGTTTTCAGATTTCACATGTTAGTTTTATACTTGATAATGGGGTAAAACCCGAAACTGGTCATACAAATGAAATAACTATTGGAAATTAGACAAAAGTGTTTTGATTCATGTCAGGCGTGTCTTTACTCTAAAAAGACACGNACAAAGTTTCAATTCTCTTTTCTTCATTATGATCTCCTACCATGAAGTAACGGCTACATCCATCAATTTATTAAGTAAGTAGTGTATTGGTTCCATTTGTACAAGAATACATAGAATGTGGAACATGTCAATCCAAATAAATATTAAAATTAATGGTAAACAAAAATAAATAAAATAATTATAACTAATTTAACAGCGTAAGCTTAAACAAATTAACATTCATATACACATACACATTGTACATGGGAACAGAACTATCACATGCGCCACTGAAATCAATGAAGTCGCCCCGGAGCGCCAATTAATTTTTATTGTTTTTATAATTTTGGAATTATTATACAGTGCTTTTCAGATAAAAGTATCCACCTTTAATAACTTTTGTAATACTGGTATTTAGGAAAATCCAAAAACACGTCAATTTATGTTGGAAGGGGCAAGCATTATGGCTTATTTAAACTTACTGGAATACTTGTAGGTTAAAGTGGTTAGTTTATGAGATAAACAATTTTCCTTTTAATAGCACAAATTTTACTTATTTTTTACTTTCACCTTATTTGCCTGTACTAAAATGGGTTGTANAGGGATGATGCTAGGGGTGAGGGGGTGGCTTTTCCAGTAAGTTTAAATAAGCCATAATGCTTGCCCCTTCCAACATAAATTGACGTGTTTTTGGATTTTTCCTAAATACCAGTATTACAAAAGTTATTAAAGGTGGATACTTTTATCTGAAAAGCACTGTATATCAAATACTTCATTAAAAAATGTATAAGTTACGAATTTCAAGGGGTACTTTATTCCATAATTCAAAAAAGGCTATATTCAACATTCTTGTTCCTTGTTCTTTGGCTTTTTCAATAATATAACCTCTTTAGACAATAAGGCATATTTATTGTTATTTTCTTAAGCTTAATGAAATGTCTTACCTTAGTAACGCTAGACGTCGTTTTAGAAGGTGAAGAACTAGCAAGTGGTTTATTTGTCAAAGTCGTTGGTCTTGCCTTTGCTGCAGTATTGACAGCAGTTGTAGGACGAGTCAGTGCCGCTTTTGGAGCAGGTGCAGGCCTTGGAGCAGCAGTTGGTCGAGAAGTAGCAGCAGCTGGTCGAGAAGGAGCTGCTTTTGTTGGACTAACCTTGGATGTTGCTGTAGTCGATTTGTTAGTACTTGCCGTTTTTGTAACACTTTCTGATGTGATCTTTTTGACTGTCGTTGCAGATTTCACTGCTGATTTCAGGTCACTACTCGTGGCCGGCTTTTTCTCTGCTGGTTTTGGAGGAAGTGAGCTTTTTGGTTTGGTCTGAGGCTTAGGTGGTGCTGCTTTGGGGGCGGCTGTAACTGATGATTTTGGAGCTCTGAAAATAATAAAAATATCACATCAGGTGAAGTGAAATCAAACCTCAAATAACAAATCCTAATATACATACAAACCTTAATAATTTTTATACCAACCGTACAAACATTGTCAGTATTATAAAACCTTTTTGAAACACTATTTCCTCATCATAATGAAAATGCTGTCTCTCAAATCGCGTTTCGCTAACCAAGTTAGCATCATTGGATGACTAAAACTATTCCTTACAAGCAATGTTTTCATATGCATCTAGCCGAATTATTACTTTGTAATAATGTGATCAGGGTTAATTATTTATTCCTAGTATTTTATTATTCACTACCTGACTGATACCTAATTTTTACCTTTATTTCCAGTATCTCTCTGTCTGTGTACTGATGCAAACAAAAAAATATTAGGAATGAGACCTTTATCGGTGCTCATAGTCCTCATTCCACATTTTTTATTCTGAACTTTCGAAGGCATCTAAAAAGTTCACTCATTCTGTGGCCATTCCCTATTTGAACAACACTGAAAACTTCTCTGGTCTATGTAGTGAGTAATAATAGCCTGCTTAGTTTGACCGCAATCCTCACAACTTATTTCGTAAATTCCAGGATTTTCTTTTTCTGTCTTTTGAGTTCCCAACACTTGTTTAAGTATACAAGCAGTTTTGAAATACACTTTCCTATTCAATTTCTCAAAAATTTGAACCAATTCGTTGGTGAATTTTGATTTGTATGGAAAAACTATGAATTTTGAATTTCTATCTTTCTGAAAAGCCAAGAATTTACGAAGTCCTGTTCCTAATTAACTCATCGTCTTACTTCCAACTAGTTACTTTCAATTATCTCCTTGATATATCTTTGACAAAATGGTTGAGGTTTTCGCCATTTTTTTTGTGGGCAATGGTGTGAGCTGTCAGGGATATATCTGAAAGTGCTAGTATTCTTCATATATACATTAAATTATAAACTCTTATCGATATTTCTTATAACTGGAACATCCAAGAATTGTAACTATACATTATTTTCAATTTTATACGTGAACTTTATATTTGGAGTTCTGTTAATGAGACAAGTTACAAAATCCTCTACCTTATTCTTATTCGTATCAAAGGCAGTAACTACATCATTAACGTGTTGGATCCAAGTTCGTGAAAAATAATCCTACTCTTCTCATGCTTCCATTTCAAAACTGATCACGAACAGATTTGCCATGAAAATAAACATAGTCACGTTCCCTTTGAGAAAATTAATGGACATCTTTCAAATATATTCGATAAGTTGATTAATAATAATAATAATTAGAAAGAGAAATATTATTGTGTGTCTATATGAATCGTCAATTTGTCAGAAAAATGAAGACTCAAAATTTATGATTCTTCCATACGAACCAAAAATCCAACAAAGTATTAGTCAAAATTTTTGAAAAATTGAATATGAAAGAGGATTTCAAAACTGTTTGTACACTTCAAGTGTTGGGCAATCCAAAAGATAAGATGATAGAAAAGAAAAAGTCTAAGACTCACGAAATAGTTTGTGAGAATTACAATAAAATATGCCCATTAAACTATACCATCTATAAGCTCGCTGGAAGGAACATGGTTCACATATTTGGTCATAAACCAGAGATAATCAGTGTTGCTCATGCCATCGAAAATGGCATGCAGAATAGCAAAAAAAATTCAGAATAGCAATGAATGCTTTAAATTGTTGTACCTGGTGCATGACATCAAGTTTTGAAATGCCTTCAAAAGTTTAGAAATAAAATAATGTGAAATGAGATCTATGAACTGTGAAAAAGGTCCCATTCCTAATGGCTTATTGTTCACACTAGTACACAGGTAGAAGAGATATCGAAAAAATTGTTAAGATTAGGTACCAGTAAAGTAGTAAATAACAAAATAACAGGAAATTATCAATAGACCTTAATATTATGCAAGATTATGATTCATGTAAAATATAAATCATTAACATAACTTGTAAGAAATAGTTTTAATTACTATAGGTAAACATTAGGTATTAGTCAGGTAGGGAAAAAAGTAAAGATTCAATGACATCACATGTTATTTTACCTGATCTTTTAAACTGTAAAAATTGAATGAGCCTTAAATGCCTTGAGATAATTTTTTGAAATATTCCAGTCTCTAAAACAACAACAATTTCATCAAACTTTTAGTTTTGGTTCTAGGGATATGAAATTTTTTATTAGTCCTCATATTGTAATGATGAGACTAGTAGATTATCCATTTATTACAAAAAAATGAACATCAATTTAGATGATTGCTCAAAATTCATGTAATGGGAAATATTAGTCATTTGATATTGTGTTGAATACAAAAAAACTCACCCAGTTTTTGAAGGAGCAACTCTAGGTGAAGCGCTAGGTCTACTTGTGGTTTTTGGAACTGGAGACTGTTTGGGAGTAGATTTAGACGTCGCCATAGAGCTCTTGGAAACAGATAGTTTCTTTGTGGATGCAACAGTTGACTTTTTGTTTTCCTCAACTTTTGTTGCCGAGGCAACTGCAGCGATTGCAGCACCGGTGGCAACAGCAGCAACTACACCCACTGCAGTCACTTCTCCTGCCAATTCTTTGGATTCTGGCTTTTCTTCAACAACAGGTTCTACAACAGAGGACTCTAGCAGCGAAATAACGGGTATTTCTTCTTGTTTGCTTTCCTCGGACGGAGTGACGACAGTTTGTTCGGCAAATTCTGGGGAAATGTTTTCAGTCTTAATGTCAATTTCCTCGCTTGTAGGCTGAGGTGGTAGCGGGTAAACGCATTTATGCAAAGGATTATTGGAATACAAATCTTTTTCAATTTCATCTTCTGTAGTGCTCAACGGAGAGTTGACCTCAGGTGGTAGTGAACGTTCCAAGAAGGAATTAACATCAGTTGTGGCTACAGATTCAGTATCAGCTATAGATTTTGGTGAAGGAACCTCGAGTTCTCGGTTCAAAGTTGATGAAGGCGATCCTGCTTCTAGAACAAAAGATGTGATATCTTGAGCCACAGCACAAACTGTTGGTTGTTCTGCTATGAAGCTATCTTCAATAACATCATTAACTGGAGGCGAAACTGGAGAAGTAATATCATCATCTCTCACGGAAGATGTGATATCTTCTTGAGGTGATTCTGTATGATGAATATCCTCTGTTGGATGGCAGAGTTCTACAAAGTGCACCTGAGCTTGTTCTATCAATTCCGGTCTAGTGAAGTCAGGTGATGCAGGAGACTCGAGGTCTCCAGAGTCACTCTGCACACTACCAACAACTTCATCTGGAAATGGTGATTTAGATTCAGATAAATCACAAACAGATGATTTGGATTCGGTTATTTCGCAAATTGGAGATTTGCTTTCGAATAACTCAACTGCAGGAGATTTTGAAACTGGTGGTTCACAAACTGCCAACTGTGATTCTTTCACTTCATTTTCACCAACTTCCTCTGGTTCTTTCATGCACGGCAACTGACACACTGGTGTGAATGATTCAATGTTTTCATTTTCTGGCAAGGGAGATTTTGATACTGGTGATTCAGAAGCTATAACTGCAGGTTCACTGACTTCTAAAAGTTCAGGAGATTTTGCAAGTGATAATTCACAAACCTTTGTTAAGGTCTCCTGCACTTCAAGATTAGCAACTTCAGCTGTTTCTGCTAGTTTTGATAATTCATCACATTCAGATACTTTTGGATGCTCCAACATATCATGAAGCTCCGTTCTTTCCATAACTTCCTCAACATCATTTGGTCTTGGTTGTTCCAGAAATTCATCTACCGGTTGAACCAACGTATTAGAAACTTCATTGATATCTGGTTCATTCAATAAGTCACTGACTTCAGGATGAATCAGTTTCTCTAACTTGACATCAACTTCAGTTTGCTTGTTCAAATCCTCCTTTTCAAGTGATTCTGGTTGTCCTAGTAAATTACTAACCTCAGTAGCTACCGGTTGTTTCAAAACATCGTCCAGTTGGTTCTGCACATTATTTGTGACGGTACTATTAGACTGTTCCAGTAAATTACTAATTTCCGTAGCTTCTGGCTGATTTAGCAAGTCATCAACTTCCGTAGCTTCTGGTTGATTCAGAAAGTCATCAACTTCCTCAGCTTTAGGTTGACTTAGTAAATCACTACTTTCATTAGCTTCAGGTCTCCCAAGTAAATCACTAACTTCCTCAGCTTCAGGTTGCAAAAGTAAATCACTGACTTCGGTATCTTCTGGGCGATTCAAAAACTCATCAACTTCAGTACTTTCAGGCTTCTTGAGTAGATCACTAACCTCGGAGGCTTGTTCCTCTACCGGACTAGTAACTTCTTTTTCCGAGACATCTGGTCTTGGTGACTCCGATAGTCTCTCCATGGTTTCTGGTGATATTAGTTCCACATCATGAGGAATATTTTCTAAAGAATGAGGCCTTTCACAAGACAGATCTTCGTTGGTAGATTGTATACTTTTTTCAGGAGATTCTGTCCTTGGTTCTGGAGAGATTATCTCAGGAGTTGGTGAGGGAGATATAACCTCTACATTGGCTGGCAATTCTCCTAGCGATTCTGACTTTTCAGAAACATGGCAAAATTTCTCTTCAAGTAGATTTTCATATCTTGGTTCTGGAGTTTTTGAAAAATCAGTTTCTTCAACACCACCAAGTAAATCTTTCTCAGAAGAATCTTTGTCAGAAGAATCCTTCTCAATTTCTATCACATCACTGTCTGGTTCCAGCGGTGAGGCAAGCTCCTTCTCATCATCATACGAATGTTTGTCCAAGTCCGTAATTTGTAAAGCATCGTCATTGTTCAATATAGGTTCGCTGGACTGTTGCGGTTCACCCAGAGGATGATGTTCTGGGAGATCTGAAATGGTCTCATCAAAGTTTTCTGTATCCGGCTGTTTCAAAAACTCATCCAAATTCTCTGGTAATACTTGGACTTTGTCGAGATCAAAAGGATTTGAATCTCCCTTATCTGCATAAAAGGACATTGACATAGGATCGGATTCCTTGTTTAAAGTATTCAAATCAGTAGCTACATCTTCAGTTGCATCAGACTCATTGAAGGATGTTTCCACAGTTGCAAATGATTCATCTCCGTAAATGGCTCTTGTTGATAGTGCTGCTTCAGATTGATCCAAAAGTCTGACAGGTGTAAACGGGGCTGCATTAGGCCCGAAGTGGAATTCGTCACTTGGTAATACTTTTTTTGGTGTACTTCCAGGTTGGAATTCTGGAATTTCATCAATATTCTTTCCATTCAATATACCCTCCATTAAATCGGTAGGTGTTGTGTTGCTGTCCTGGAAATTTAAGTAGGTAAGACTTTTTGACTTGATATTCATCACAAATGATATGTTCTTGGTACTTTGATAAAAATGAGTAAAAATTATTTTTAAAATTGTCACACTACATTAGATTTATATACCTTATCATTTCGTCTATATTTTGTAAGTATATTCAAATAAGCATGTCAAATGATACGCTAACCAAGTTAGCGTAGCACGGGTCGACAGACCGTAATTTTGTCTGGTGTTGGGAAAGTGTTTTTCAATAGATTTATTTTACGCCAGAGGTTCCAGTAAGAACTAACATAATAATTCCAAAATAATATTTATCTTTAATTCAAACAGATAGTATATGTGTAAAGGCGAATTATTGAAATTATTTGAATCCATGAAAATAAAACACTCATCGCCATGTTTAACGAAAACTGTGTATTTGTATAGACAGGTGAAAAGAATACAGGAACATAAGGCAAACTGTTGGCTAAAAGATAAGGATGCATCAGTGCCATATAACAAAAAAATTTTAGGATACTCAATTTTCAGCAACTACCTCTCATAACTGATTGTTACAATGATAATTTCTAAAGAACAAAAGAAATCCAGTATGTCAATTAGCCTTGGCACCTACTTCAGGTCATCAAAAGATTAATTGGAAAACCCTTGCCCAATAAATCACTGGCTGGTAATGATTTTAAAAATAATTTAAATTCAATTAAATAATTTAATTTACTATGAATTCATATTCGGTTTTTCCTACAATTTGGAGTCCCTACAAGTCACATCCTTCCTAAGTTGAAACTTGTGCGAACTACAGATTAAGGAGGTATTATCTAGTAACGTGCGATTTCTAACACGGGCTGGACGATAGGCAGTGAAAATCGATCATCCTGCCTCGCGGATTTAACCATCGTTTCACTTGATAGTCGATTAGTGTGTGAAACAAATCACTCACACTAACCCAAACAGCTATCGTCCCATTGAGAAATTCATTCAAATTAAATTCATACAAAATAAAAGACGAACAACAATCTCTAAAAGCAACAAAGATAATATAAGCTTCACTCAATTTATATGAAAACTTTTCAAAGATCTGTGTGTTTTTGATGTTTCATTTATTAATACAAAATTTGTCAGTAACACAGCAACCTATTTATTACCTGGGAAACAAATTTCAAGGATTTTTTCAACTTAGAGCCAGTTACCTGGTTTTAGAGTTATGTGTTAGTTTTTTTTTTTTTTCAGAAAATTCGTGAAAGCAATTTTCTTTCAACACTTAATGATATGTACCAGGAACGATAACTTAGAAATCTCATATAACTCAGAGAGACGTTGTTATTCCTAAGTGGTTCATAGGGGGCTTTTCAGAAAACACCCGTTTGATTAAACTTACTTGCAAGATGAACTTTTTAAAAGATTAGTATAAAAATCAATTGAATATACAAAAAAAAAAACAAACCTACATAAACCCTGAAGGCTGGTAGATATTTTAGCAGATATTCATTCTGCTCTGCATATTAATTCACTTGGTGTAAAATAAGTTGAAAGCATTTGCATTTTAATATACTCTTCAAAATTAATAGTGACCAACAAGGTCACCTAACTATCATATACATGAAATAACGGACAACAGTGATCTAATGCATTAAAAAAATTTGGAAAGTCAAAGTAAAACTGAAGTTGAAAATATTTGTCACAGTAGATAAATAAACTCCAAAAATTATCTGTTTCACTATTAGTATCCAGACATTGATTTTTTCATAAAGTCGTTTTTCCTTTTGATTTATTTTTCTTTCTATGAATTTATGACCAGTTACTTGAAAATTATAACACTATCTATGATAAGAATCATAGAATTTTCAAAGAAATTTTGTTCAAAACGCGTTTCACTACACGGTCGCTTCACTTGTAACTGATGAACCTATTTTGAAGACTTGAAAGAATAAAATGAGTCGGACACCTCCCAAGAAGCAAAAAAAAGTTGACTGTTGAATTATTTGATGCTATCAAAATAACAACTTTGTTGTAAATGGTGTACTGTGTCGTTAGTTGTATTGACTATAGAAATAATGAATTTATCTAAAAGCAAAATTACCATTTATACATGTAACAGGAAAATAATTTCATGGGATTTTTTATGACATTCTGTACCAAAAATAATTATAATTTAAACTGGGAGTAATGAACATTTCAAATATTTTCATTTAATATTAGCACAGAAATCAAATTTTATTTAGTGAGTATTTCAGACCGATTACACAACAATGGTGTTATTACAGACAAGTATAATTTAGTTAATAAAAAAACTTGAATCGAATCAGCATAATTTTTCCATAAAATGAATATCTACTCACTCGATTACAACTAAGACAGTGAACTGACTTTTTATTTGCATTCTTCCATATTCAACAGATATCTAATCAGTGTTAATAATAGCAAGCTTTGTGACTTCATGACCGTGTTTACACTACATATCCTGATAATTTCTCTTGGATACCAACTTTATACATATTGCTTCTCCAAAATATTCAAATTATTTGTGACACCCAATTCCCAATAACTCATTTTATTAATTGTTCTTTGAAAATGTTTAATTTGTTTGTACCACTCAATCAATGTTTATATTACTTCCTTAACACAAGTGCTAAACTTGTGTTAAGGAAGTAACAGCTAACGAAAAACACGATGCAAAATCAAGAATGATCCCTATTTCTCTCTAGAGCAATATCTTGCAATCCGGAAAATCTTAATAGTGAACAGAAACTATGCACTGAAACAGTGCGTGGACGTATACTCTCAACTTTCGAACGGGGCAAGATACCAGAATCGGACAAAATTAAAAAAAAAACATTTTCAGTACGTTTTGATAAAAAACCAGTAGAGTGACATCACTTGTCGCCGAGAGAGCACTGTTAACATTTTTTTCAAAAGGAAAGGGGTCTTGTGACATTTTGTATACAACGACCTTTAGTTTTTTTTTAATTTTGATAACCAGTTTCGGAGTTATTGATGTTTGGGACCAGAAATTTCGTATCACCGCCACCCTATGTCGGATTTTTTAAATAAATATTCTTTGTAAAGAGAAACGAATTAGTAACATTTTTTGCAGTTAAACCGATAGCATTTAAACCTTGTTATCATTCATCTTATACTTCGGTTGGTAGGCGGGCGGTTCGACATAGGTGCTTTGTTAACTCAGTCAATCGACCGCCGTGTTGGTCGCTGGTTCAAGCCACAGGCTGAACGATCGATTTTCACTTGCTATCGTCCAACTCGTGTTAGGAATCACACGTTAAAAGATAAGACCTCGTTAGTCGTTAGCTCGCACAAGTTTCGACTTCTGAGGGTTGTCGTTCGTAGGGGTGCTACAGCTGCTTAACGGAAAAAATAATTTTTTTTCAAGATAAAAAATCAACTGGGCAAATATTCAGAATGTTCCTCTTGAACCTCCTGACAGTAAAACAATCTATTTTTGAACTGATTAGGAAGTTTTACAATATTTTATAACATTTTTGAATATTTCTGTAATGCTAGCAAAAGTTTCGGTAATTTTGTTTTCAAGTTCCTGTTTTGTCCCAAAGGACCACAATTGTCAGTTGATATCAATCCAGCCAGATATAAGGAAAACAGTAGTTTCATCCGTTGATGAAAGAATTGCAATAAAAAATTGTTATCATAATTACTTACACTGTCACCATTGTGACCATTGCTGTACGATTCCACTTCACTAGGTCTGGACTTGACTTCTTTTTCGAAATCGGAAGGATTAGGTAGATTGATGTCTAGTTCATTGACAGGCCTTTTAGGAGATTGGGATATAACGTGATCATTTATAAGTACCCTACATGCCGGTGATGGAACACTTCTTGTTGGTGAGACTGGTACAAATTCTGCAGCGTTAGGATTCAGCTGAGACATGTTGTCGTCCTCTTCGGGAATATCGGCAACCTAAGCAATTGGAATAGTGTTTAAAATCGATTTTTCAACTTACTACTACATCAAATAGATGTAATTGAATACATGAGGGTTAAAAATATGTAGTCTTTATGCATTTCCAATTGCCTTGTACTTTCACTTAGAATATTTTAACGTGTCCCGATTTACTGTGCAAAAAATCGGGTTATACACGTTAAACCATAAAAATACAGTTAAGTAGATCAGATAGATAGATAGGCAAATACAGATAATTTTTACTGTCAGAAAATATATAAATGTATTCATATCCACAAGTGCACGCAAAAAAATATATATACTCCAACTTCACTTATTTTAAATTTATTATAGAAGCACATTTAAAAATTTATAAATATATTTCCATCCGCAAACAGCTGTAACAGTTGTAATCAATTCAGATATTACTGAATTTGTTATTATCATTATTATGACAATACAACTTCACCTTATACATAAGCCAAATTATAAGCTGTGTGATATAACTCTCAAAACAAATGCTACAACTACCAAATCGATCAACTGCGAAAAATTGAATACCTTCATTTGACATCATAGATAAAAATATAGCAGGTATTGCACATCAATTTTCCCACATTAACGTTTTTTTCTCTGGATTGTTATCAGTAAGATTAGGTAACATGAATTATGTGGATGAATAAATTTATATCTCCTTGAACTACCTTCAACAAAAATCCATATCGATGTTCATATACAATTGTTTTAAATATTAAATATTCTTTATTGTAACAACATTGATCTCCATAATCACCAAACATTTATGAAAGAAATACACTATAATACTGAAATATTAGTATTATGAAAAATGAACCATTTGGATATCTTATTGATAATTTAACTTCCTTGTAAGCCTTCAAATTTTAAGTCTGGTAACATTACCTATCATTTGTAACGAATATTTATGTCTACATTGTATTTTAAACTCACCTTTTGTTCTGGCACCGGAGATATATTTTCTTTATTTGCTTCCTCTCCCTTGATATAGTTCCACTCGTCCTCGGAATCACTGTCTGCTACGTTTTCCTCTAACCCTCTAACATCATGAACTGAAACAAGGAATACACAATCACTCTCAAGAATGATAACAACAAAAACTCTCACCACAAAATGAAAGGAACAATTGGACAAATATCATAAAATGTCAATTATCCAATTAAACAGAAAATCCCTCTCATACCCCTGAGATGATTAAACAGACCAAAAATTAAAATAATTTTGTAAATCACAGGGTTACTATGATAATTATATACTTGGGTGCTAATATTTTACATATACCTAATATAAAAAAGTCAAGATTGTTTTCACAATAACCTTATTTAATACATAAATCATGAGACGGGTATGTAACAACTGAATTGCACACTGTTCAGTATGACTTTTTTTGAAAAAGTACATAGAAAAATAAATGGAGCTGATTATGCATAACACATTGGAGTCTCTAGATATCAAGTTTTAAATAAAGTTAGATATGATTAACGTACAATTATACACAGTGGAACACAAACTACATATTTATATATATCATTTAAATATTTCCAAGCAAAATAAAATATCTCTGTGGTGTGCACACCTGAAAGATCAGATTTTAAAAGACCCCAANCAAAGTGAGCGTCATTTTCTGAGAGGCTTTTGAATTAATTTTACCGTCTGGATCTCAGAAAAAGACACTGATCCGTCAAGCTGATGGGAGACGAGTAGAAATTTCAGACAGAACTTAAATATCTTGCAAAATTTCGAAGTCTACTCAAAGTGGTCGACAAGGTATTTTGGTAAATGTTACAAGTTCAGACAAAAACAAAACACCTTTTTATACAAGGAAAGTTCGAACTTGCTACATTCCAAGTCTATATATTGATTATATTACTACCTACGTGTACTTCAAACTTTTCAAAAACGTAGTATGTTTCTAGAGAAACCCTATCTGAATTAAAATCGATTTCATTCAGTAATGGATTGCATTCATATCTTTTCACATTTCACCATACTATAACACCTAGATTCTTTTATGATTTCTAGATACTTTCATTACCTCAGGACCGAATAGTAATAGTGGAAAGAACTTTTTTGGAAATGATCTTGAAATATGAGAAATATTTAAATTCACTGAGAATTTTAGACCCAGGCTATGATGAATATCATAATTATTTACATCTAGTTTTATTTCATTTAATTTCTTTCATTCATTGACTGGTGCATTGATTGATTGAGTTCTTTGCTATTATGACTTATTTCTCGTTAGTACGAGTCAAAATTTCCATAGTGTGAAAGATTTCTCTTCGATTCTGGAATGGAAATAGTATCATAACTCATTTTTTTTGAAGAAAACTCGTAAATTCGGAGGTAATGAGAAAGAGGGAACTAAAAATGAGCCTAAAATTACGTCGTATTCTATTCAGTAAAATGTTTTTCCCGAGGTTGGGTTCTGATAGCTTAACGATGAGCGAAGGAAAATGGTTCCTTGCTCAATATTCTATTATTTTCTGACAATACTGGACCGAGTGACTTATTAATAATAAGAAAATGTAGGTAATGGTGTGGTGATTATAATAAAAATGGCATTCGGAATGCTGAAACTCGGACCTCTCGAACGAATCAAGTGTCGGAATCAAGGTTGAACACGCAAACTAATCGAGTCAACGCAATATCCTTGTTTGGAATATGACGACATCCGCAATGAATTTTATTATTATTTGATTTCTCATAGAAAATCAGTATTTCGAATTTATGGTATACATATTCTAAAAGAAATGTAAAAGAGGCATATCTATTATGTTGTTACTTAATTATTCAGAGAAAATAAATCTCAATAATTGATATGACATACATATTTATTCAATAAATTGATGGATGTAGCCGTTAACTACGTGATAGGAAATCATAATGAAAAGAGAAATGAAATTTTCTATGTTTTTACCACTTTTATTTGTAACTAACGTTACTGCAGTTTCCTCCTTATACAATATATAAGTTTGAAAATGTCCGTATAGGACGAAACTGCAGTAAAGTTAGTTACAAATAAAAGTGGTAAAACATAGAAAGTTTCATTTCTCTTTACATATTTATTCTATTTTTCATTCCATACGGAATGGAAAAAAGTCACACAATTCCTCGACAATTTTTCTTTCAAATATGATGATTTAATTCAGGCAAAATTAAGGAAATAGCATTAAGTTTTTCCTAGCTTCATTCACAGAATTATTTAAAAACAAATCGAAAATTAAAACGCCACTTTTCCTACTACACGCTGCCCTTTTCAGATTTTTTTTGTCTCTAACATCAACTTCTTTCCCTCAATTGATTTTTTGCAATTTTCTAAAATATATTTTCTAAGTTCGGAAACATTAAATGAACTTAAACAATTTTTCTACAGAAAGTAGTAATTGATTTCTAAATCTGTTACATTATCAGTAGGAATAGCTAAAGATAAATATAGTAAAAAAAACGAAAAAACAAGCTTCTAAAGAACATCGAACTAAAAAGTTAATTTTTTTTAATAATCTTAAAACGATAACGAACGAAAAATACTAGTATTATTGTGAAAAAAGCGATGGGCGCTTGATATACAAAAAATATGGCA